TGATATTTAGTTATATTTACAGGTAACAAAAACAACAACAACAAGGACAACAGATGCCATGTATTGAGCAATTCTAATGCTCCTGATATTATGCAAGACGTTTTAAATACCCTAGGTCAAGTCCTCCCAACAATTTTATAATGTAGGTGTTATTATTCTTGACTTACAAATGAGAAAAGCTGAGGCTTATAAAGGCCTTACAGGAGCTTAGGAGGTCAGGACGTTCCCTTTAAATTTGCCAGATACATGACTTTGCCCAGGGTGATAATTTCATTGCTGTTGAGAGCTGGACAAATTGCTTGGGAACTTGGGGCCTTGGTTCTCCACTTTGCTTTGAGTGTGGAAAAGAGCCTTTTTTCACCAGTTGCTTTGACTATTCTCTCCATCCTTAGGCCGTCCTTGGTTTCAGATTCTAGTGGTTTCTAAATCATGTCTGGACTCCATTTTGGCTTCCAGTCCTTCTTGCCTCCTCTCTGGCTGTTCATTCTACGACTTCCCTCTTCCTCCAACCTCACCTCTAAGAATTCAAAGCACCACCTTCTCTTTTCCCTGCACAAGTCTCTCTCCAGGGCAGGCTTTTACCTTTGTCTCCCGGCACAGTATGCAGAGCCTGATAGACGGCAGACTCTCGACAAATGATAAAATGGATGCATCGGTCAGTAAGACATGCCTTTGTACAAACTACCGCCCCACAAAAACCAAGCTCCTTGTTTTTGTTGAAATATTAAGCAATCTGAGAGCAGAAAAAAGAAGAAAAACTCAAAAAATTGACCAAGCTTAATTGTAAGTCCTAGATCTAATACTCAATTCAATTTATCCTTAGAACTTTTAAAACTCTATTTTCTGATATCAAAAGGTAACTTCTACTTGTACCCTTAATTGTTAGAATGGTAGTTTTATACTTTCAAATGTAAAGTATTACTTTTTAAAAATTAGATATTTTAAATTGGGAACATATAGTGTAAAATTCAAAAGGTTCAAAATGGTATTTAGTGAAAAGTAAGTCTTCCTCCTCCCCGTTTTTCAAGGTCTTCCTTCTCTTCTAAGAGTCAACAACTGATCAGTTTCTGTGTTTTCCTCAAGACACGATCGATAAAGGGGAAATTATTCAGGATTTCTCATTTGTAAGATAATGTTGGTTTTGATATCCTAGACTTGGATTTGAAAGTTTAAACTGATATTAAGAATGATAGTTTATATCATGAATGACATCAACAATAATCTTTCTCATGATGTGAAAATTCTTTGAGAAACTTAAACTTGGGCAAGATACAGAAGGAAAGGGGAGGGAGGCAATGGTGGCTGAAGTTACTTGCAATTACTTGAGAGTTCTTGTAAAATGATTTTTTCCCCTATAGAAATGGTGCAATGCACCAGTCAGAATGGCCATCATCAAAATATCTAGAAACAATAAATGCTGGAGAGGGTGTGGAGAAAAGGGAACACTCTTGCACTGCTGGTGGGAATGTGAATTGGTTCAGCCACTATGGAGAACAGTATGGAGGTTCCTTAAAAAACTACAAATAGAATTACCATATGACCCAGCAATCCCACTACTGGGCATATACCCTGAGAAAACCAAAATTCAAAAAGAGTCATGTACCAAAATGTTCATTGCAGCTCTATTTACAATAGCCCGGAGATGGAAACAACCTAAGCGCCCATCATCGGATGAATGGATAAAGAAGATGTGGCACATATATACAATGGAATATTACTCAGCCTTAAAAGGAAATGAAATTGAGCTATTTGTAATGAGATGGATAGACCTAGAGTCTGTCATACAGAGTGAAGTAAGTCAGAAAGAAAAAGACAAATACCGTATGCTAACACATATATATATGGAATTTAAGGGAAAAAAAATGTCATGAAGAACCTAGGGGTAAGACAGGAATAAAGACGCAGACCTACTGGAGAACGGACTTGAGGATATGGGGAGGGGGAAGGGTGAGCTTTGACAGGGCGAGAGAGAGTCATGGACATATACACACTAACAAACGTAGTAAGGTAGATAGCTAGGGGGAAGCAGCCGCAAGGCACAGGGATATTAGCTCGGTGCTTTGTGACAGCCTGGAGGGGTGGGATAGGGAGAGTGGGAGGGAGGGAGACGCAAGAGGGAAGACATATGGGAGCATATGTATATGTATAACTGATTCACTTTGTTATAAAGCAGAAACTAACACACAATTGTAAAGCAATTATACCCCAATAAAGATGTTTAAAAAAAAAAAAAAGAAAAGAAATGGTGCAATGATATTGACTTTAAAGTCAGAAAGGATAGGGGTTCAGGGAAAATGTTCAAATAGCTCTAAAAGAATAAATTAGTTAAGAAAAAAATGTGAATTATCTCAAAATTCCTGAGTTCTTTTGAACATTTCATTTACTGTAACTGTAACCATATTATCACTGCATGAAACTATTTCTGGCTTATATGTAGATATGTTCTATAAACACATATTGATTAACTAAGAATGAACTTGGGCAAAATTTTCAAAAGCAAGGACAGAAAAGTAGTTTATAATATCCATCAGAAGAAAATGGTGAATGAATCCAGACCACTGTTTCAAAGAATTTCAAGATTGTAAAATCAGCCACAGTAATGAATTTTAAGCATATTTTTCCCTCTCTGGGAAGGTCAAAGATTGTGGCTAAAACTGCCTTCCTGGTGACCAAGAAAAGACATATCTTTGCAATGGAGAGAAAATTGCACATCTACCCCTGGTGGGGGTGGGGAAAGGATTCCAGAGCACTCTTGTGAACCAAGAGGACCGTGGGAAGGATCTGGTCTTGGGATTGTTGGAAAAGACCTGTCCGAAAAGGCTTCGTGCCTAAGGGGATGGACTTTCATCAGAAAGAGACTGGAGGTTACCGTCGGCTACAGAGGATGAAGATGGGGTGAGAAGCAGTTGGCCAGAGACAAGGATTGCCCAAGGGCCCAGAGGGGATAACTTTGAGGATCCCACAGAGTTTGCTATAGAAGAGAAAGGATAATCACTGGGATTCTGCCCCACCCAGAAGAAGCAAACATCATACTATATCCGCCTTCGTTGACAAGGATGGTTTCTCCTGCCCCTTACATCTCCTCCCAGCTTCCATCTCTTCTAGCTCTGGAAAAGTTACTGGCAACCCGGGGGCTGAGGGAGCTGTAGAAACCTTAATTCCATCTGCAAACTTAATTCACCCTTGCAATGTAGCAAGACATCCACAGGTTTCTCTGGTTAGGGCATCTTTGCCAGAGAAAGGGGTGTTACTCTGCCTATCACATTTATAAAATGAGATTGTTCTTTGGAGCTGAAAATGAACAAAGGACTTTTATTAGTTAAGAATGACTAGACAGGGACTTTCTTGGTGGTCCAGTGGTTAAGACTTCACGCTTCCACTGCAGGGGGCAGGGGTTCAATCCCTGGTTGGGGAACTAAGATCTCACATGCCGAGTGGCATAGCCAAAAGAAAGAAAGAATGACTAGACAAAATGCACGTCAAAATAGCAATGAAATAACACTTCATACTCATTTGGATGGCTACTATAAAAATAACAGAAAATAAGCATTGGCAAAGATGTGGAGAAATTGGAACCCTTGTGATCTCTTGGTGAGATTGTAAAATGGTACAATCACTACAGAAAACAGTATGAAAGTTCCACAGAAAATTAAAACTAGAACTATTACATGATCCAGCAATCTCACTTCTGAGTATAAATCCAAAAGAACTGAAAGCAGAGTCTAGAAAAGATATTTGCACATCCATGTTTATGGTAGCACTATTCACAATAAACCAAGAGGTGGAAGCAACCCAAAAGTCCATCAATGGATGGATAAACAAGATGTGGTATATTCATACAATGGAATATCATTCAGCCTTCAAAAGGAAAGAAATTCTGCACATGCTCCAATATGAATGAACCTTGAGGGTATTAAACTAAGTGAAATAAACCAGTCACAAAGAGACAAATGCTGTCTGATTCCACTTATATGAGATACACAAAGTAGTCAAATTCATAGAAACAGAAAGTAGAATGGTGGTTACCAGGAGCTGAGGGGAGGGGAAAATGGGAATTGTTTAATGGGAATAGAGTTTCAGATGAACTTTTTTTTCAGATGAAAAAGTTCTGGAGATCTGTTCCACAACAATGTGAATATACTTAATACTACTGAACTGTACACTTAAAAATGGTTACGATGGTAAATTTTATATGTTTTTTACAAACACATAATAAAAAAAAGTGATAGGCAAAAGTATGAGATCCAAGATCTCACCCGAATTTTTGTCTAAGGGGAGGTAAAAGTTGAATCCACTAATGTAGTTTGAATGAGCCCCGGGGAAAAGAATTAAGTTGTTTCCTGCTCAAATCCTATCATGTCCTGTGATTTACTATAAACTTAACTATAAAAAACACCAGCATTTGCCACTAATAATTTGTTAAGGGCTAGTTTTAAAGGGAATTTCATTTCTAGCTATGACATATGGATGTACACATTACCTAACGTTAAGTATACTGTATATACTCTACTCTCTGTGTGTCTGTAGTGAGAGAGAGAGAGAAATTTATATTTCTCTCTCTATACATATACAGTTATAAGACCATTCTTGGCCAATTAAATCCAATCTATTTTAATAAGTTAAGGTCAGACTGACCTTAGTTGTAATCAATGTACCTATAGTTTATGTTGCATTAAAATTTATTTTTTAATTCATAAAAATCACTCGATCATTTGAATCATATACTGAATCTTTGTGTCCCCCCACAAGTTTGTTTGTTGAAAACTAACCCCCTATGTGATAGTATTTGGAGGTGGGATCCTTAGGAGGTTATTAGGTTATGAGAATGGTGCCCTTATAAATAGGATTAGTGCCCTGATAAAAGAGACCCCAGAGAGATTCCTTGCCCCATCTACCATGTGAGGACACAGCCAGAAGACTGCCATCTATGAAATAGGAAGCAGGTCCTCACCAGACACTGAATCTGCCAGCACCTTGATCCTGGACTTCCCAGCCTTCAGAACTGTGAGAAATAAATTGTTGTTTAAGCCACTCAGTCTATGGATTTTAAAAATAATTATTAAATAGCAGCCTGAATGGACTAAGACAACGTGCTTTGCTTTGAATATGAAGACTTTCTACTGATGTTCTCTTTTTATCTCCAAACCTACCACCTCAGATCTCCCAGATAAAGGTAAATAACTACAACACAGGCAGAAATAAGAGAGCATGTGACTGAAAACACAGTGATATGCCATTTCCATTAATTCCAAGATGCTTATTCTTTTGCGCTTTAATATTTCTGAAATCTGGACGTTTTTCAGCAATGGCATTTAAAAATTTCTAATGTGTTATTGCTGCACATCTATGAACTTGGATATTATTCCTGGTGGTACCTTGGGACAGGAGCAATCCCTTGATTTTTCAGATGACAACTATCTATGAACCATCAAAGGAAGGAGTGTGAGTCCTGGTTTTTGTCTGAAAACTGCTCATTGATAAGTTCTTCCAGTAAGATCAGGATACTTGCCTATAACTAGCTTCTCCCATCTCTAGGCCAGTGGGACCCTTAGATTTCCCCATCCTCTTGAGATTAGGTGAAGCCACGTGTATGTTAGAGTTCTAACGCTGCATAACAAACCACCCCCAAAACTTAGAGGCTTAAAACAACAATAATCATTTATCATCTCACAGTTTCTGTGGATCAGGAATTCAGACAGGACATGGGAGTGAGGGAGGCTTTAGACAGGACACAGTCCTACGATCGATGTCTGGAGCCTCAGCTGGAATACTTGCAGGTTTGGGGGCTGGAATCACCTGAAGGCTTGATTGAGGCTGGAGGATCCACTCACATGGCCAGCAAGTTGGTGCTGGTGCATTGGTTCCTGTCCACATGGACTTGGCCACGCGTGGACCTCTCAAAGGGCTGATTGTGTGTCCTCATGACATGGTGGCTGGCCTTCACCAGACTGAGCTATCCAAGAGAGAAAGAGAGAGTGCACCAGGTGAAGATATCCTTTTTATGACCTAGTGCTATGGTCTGAATATTTGTGAGCCCCTACAATTCAAATGTTGAAATACTAATGCCTGCTGTGATAGTATTAGTGGGGGGGAGCTTAAGCCATGGAATTAGTGCCTTATAAAAGAGGCTCCAGCAAGGTCCCTAGGCCCATCCTCCATGTGAGGATATAACAAGAAATTTCAGAACAAACAGAACCATGACTTATGTTTCATAACTGTCATAGCTGATTTCATGGACAGTCCTATCATGTTTTTGGCATTTACAAAAAATTTTTTTCTCTGGGAATTCTTAGGAGTGGGAGCATATGGAACCCCATTTCTCTCCTCACCTTCTATACACACTCAGCATTTCCGATGGCTGTGGAATTCGTGGCTCGTGGGCTCGGGTGTCCTTGACAGTTCTGAACTTAAAGGAAGCTGTAAAAAGACCCCCCTGGTTCCTCCTTCTTGCTTCTTTGGGGTGGGGTAGGCATTTCCTTGGGAACATTTAAGAAGAAGGCATATTAAGGAGGGGAAGTAATCCTTGGGCTGATGGGGTAAAGGTCAGAAATTGAAGGCAGGACTGGACATAGCAGGTCAATTCTAGACAGATGCGATGCAGGGGTAGAGGGTGTGGGGTTAGGGCCCAGACAGGACTGGGATCTGACTGGTAGACAGGAAAGGAATAAGCTAAAACCGTGGAACCTCAGGCAGCTCACAGCACGTGCCACTTAACCTAGGAATCTGCCTATTTGTAGCCCATGCCCCCCATGTGGCTCTCTCAGTGGGGCCGTTATCAGAAGAGACCCGTTAAGAAGTGGGACCTAATGTGAAAATATCCAGCTTGGCTCATAGACCAGCCCCGTCTTTGGAATGAATCAGAGGGCAGAGACAGATCAACAGATGAGATGGAGTCTTGAATTCTTAATCCATTTCTTTCCTAAATAAAAACGAGAGTTGCAGCCGCTAAGCTTACTGAGTTTAAAGCCTCTTTTTATTATTATTATTTCACATCTTTATTAGAGTATAATTGCTTTACAATGGTGTGTTAGTTTTTGCTTTATAACAAAGTGAATCAGTTATACATATACATATGTTCCCATATCTCTTCCCTCTTGCGTCTCCCTCCCTCCCACCCTCCCTATCCCACCCCTCTAGGTGGTCACAAAGCACCGAGCTGATCTCCCTGTGCTATGTGGCTGCTTCCCACTAGCTATTTATTTTACATTTGGTAGTGTATATATGTCCATGCCACTCTCTCACTTCTTCCCAGCTTACCCTTCTCCCTCCCCGTGTCCTCAAGTCCATTCTCTAGTAGGTCTGTGTCTTTATTCCTGTCTTACCCCTAGGTTCTTCATGACATTTTTTTTCTTAAATTCCATATATATGTGTTAGCATACGGTATTTGTCTTTCTCTTTCTGACTTACTTCACTCTGTATGACAGACTCTAGGTCTATCCACCTCATTACAAATAGCTCAATTTCATTTATTTTTATGGCTGAGTAATATTCCATTGTATATATGTGCCACATCTTCTTTATCCATTCATCCGATGATGGACACTTAGGTTGTTTCCATCTCCGGGTTAAAAGCCTCTTGTTCCTTCCTCACAATCTGTGGGCAAAACAGCCTGAGGTAATTGTCTCCAAGCCGGGATCAGAACTGAAGTTGGCCACAGGGGCTGGGGACCTGAGGTGGCCCCTGGGATTTCAGCTGGGGCCACAAAGAACTGCCAAGTCTCCCAGTGATTGAGTGTTTCTTGAGGCACCTGGGCTTGCCCTGGGCTGGCATTCTGGCTCCCCAGCAGTCGGGCTCTGCTCTGTCCCACCCCGTCACCCACAGCGTTATGTGGAGGCTGTGGGGAGTGGACAGCTAGGGCTGGGTGGAAGCAAGGTCCTCACGCCTGCAGGCCGTTCTTGCCGTGTCTTGACTGGTCTGGGCTGTTAAAGGCAGGGCAGTAGGGGTGGACCAGGCCCTGCAGCCAGATCACGTAACGTAGGTATAAGTGGTGCCAGCAAAGGGTTCTGCTCCCCAAGGTGGGGATGAAGGCCCTCCCATTGACCAAATCATAGTCAGGCTCCTCTAAGCCTTCTTCTCAACTAGGCTTTGACCTTGGACTTCAGTATCCATCCTTGGTGGGCCTGTGTTTCTCAGTTTCAGTGAGAATCCTGCTAAGTCAATTTAGAGAGAACCCCCCATCATTGGTACCTGATCACCCTTGATATGCGATCACCTCGACAGCTGGCCACATCCTTCATCCCCCATTTTTGGTATCTGATCACCCTGCTTGCCTTCAGTAAGAATCCTGTTCTGGTTAACCAGAATCCACTCTCCACCCCCTGACCATTGTTGTTTCCTGTTAGTAATTTTCCATCCACAGACCCCCTGACCTGCTCCCCCGCTATAAATCCCCACTTTTTTTTTTTTTTTTTTTTTTTATTTATCATTTTTTTTGGCTCCGCTGTGTCTTAGTTGCAGCATGCGGGATCTTTTTTTTTTTCTTCTTTTTTTTTAGTTGTGGCAATGCGGACTTCTTAGTTGCGGCGTGCAGGCTTCTTGGTTGTGGCATGCATGTGGGATCTAGTTCCCCAAGCAGGGATTGAACCTGGGCCCCCTGCACTGGGAGTGCGGAGTCTTACCCTCTGGCCACCAGGGAAGGTTCCCCACCCCCCATTCTGCAACTTGTTCTTGTTAGATTCAGACCTGAGCTCCACTCTATACTGAGGTCTCTTTCCCCCTAATGCAATAATTTCTGAATAAATTCTGTTTTCCCTTCACTAGCCACTGCTAGCCTCTGGTTTGCTCTAATATTGGGAATACCTCTCAGCCGGAGCTCAGGTATCAGGGAGGACAGGGAGAAGTAGCACAGGTTCTCATAGCTGCCCAGAGCCCAGCGGGAACCCACGGCAGGACAGGGGGAGATGGATCCATCGAGTGAAGCAAGGCTCTGGGCGGGGAGGGAACTGGGTCCAGACAAGACGGGTATGGGCAGAAGGGGGTCTAGAGCAGAACCGGTGGAGAAGCCCAGCTTACGACATGAGGGTTTGGCCTGGGTGCTGAGGAGTGAGACCGTCACTAACTAATGGTGGGGAGCACAGGAAGGCAGGATGCTGCTCAGAGAAGCTGTGGACCCCACAGCCCAACTGGCTCAGACTAGCTGGGAGGACAGAGGCATCCATTCAACAAATATTTATGAAACGCCTAAGAGCTCGAGAGGGATATACTAGCAAACAAAATAGACAGAATATTGTCCTCGAGGAACTTACATTATAGTGGCAAGAGGCAGACACCGAACACAATAAACAGACAACATGGAGTGCTGGAACATGATCAAAGGGGCCCTGTGGAAAGCAAGCCACAGGTGAGAGGGAGTGGTAGAGAGATGAGAGGCTTGCAAGGTTGGCCTCCCCAAAAGGTGACATTTGAGCGAAAACCTTAAGGATGGGAGAGTGAACCACAGACAATTCCAGGAGGAGGAACCTTCTAGACACAGGGACGTGCTGGTGCAAAGGCTTTGAGCAGGTGAGGCCTGGTGCTCCAGGCACAGTGAGGGGGCTGGAGGAAGAGTGAGAAGGGGAAAGCCCACCAGGGGAGAAGACGAGAAGAGGGCCCCCCGTGAGGACCCTGGGGCTTTCACCCTGTGGGCGGAGTAGATAAGAGCAGACTGGCTGCTGCCTGAGAAAAGGTTCTGGGATTGGGGTCGGGCAGTGTAGAAGCAGGGAGACAAGGAAGGCTACTGCACACACAGGCGATGGTGGCTTCCAGAGAGGTGGGGACATGTGGGCCGCTCTCCGTGAGTGTCACTTAAAGGCAGAGCCAGCAAATCAGGGGCCAGCTCTTTGGGGGCTGTGGCTGTCGGCTGTCTTCTGGCTTCTGGTCTGGAATGTAACCGGGGCTGGGGGAGGGATGGAGTCGGAAGCCAGCAGGGATGATGCCTGGCTCTGAATGTCTCTGAGAAAAACTTCCCCTTTCGCCCCTTTAAAAAAATGTTTAAAGGAAAATGAAGAACAAGAGACAGCCAATCTCAGGAATTCCACCCTTGCAGCTTCCCTCAGTCCCTAGTCCCCTGGGCTGGGGTCCCTGTTCTCTTTGGAAGTGCCCCTGCCTGAGCTCAGCGGGGGTTGTGGATTCTGGCCAGCATGACAAAAGCTGGTCACTCGTGCTGTGCCTGGGCCAAAGCGTGATGGGACCTCAGCTCCATGGGCCACTGATGGGCAGGGTGGTGGGGGAGGCCCTGGGACACACAGGTCAAGGGCAAGGAGCTCTGGCGGATCTCCAGGATGGCAATGACTTGGCTTTAGTGAGCTGCCACTGCGTGCCAGGCACTTGGCATACATGGTTGGATTGGATGATGTTTCTTCCCTTCTGGGAAACTGGGATGATTAATTTGGGGCTGGGCAGCCTCCATTATCTGTCAGTGAAGGAAAACTTGACATACTCCAGCACTGGAGGCAGTGCTGTTCTTAGCAGAATAAAGCCCAAACCAGGCTTACTAGTTCTCAAGAAATGACTTCCGTAAAGAGAAGAAACTTTAAGTAGAAGGACTCTGCCAGTTCGATAGAACTATGAATCTTGCCTGGGGGTCAGGAGTGGGTGTCAGAAGGAAATGAGTTCTTCAGGGTAAGGTGTGCTTTGATTTTAGGACAGAAGCTGAAGCCTAGAGTAGACACCCCCCCCCCCCCACATACATCACCTCCCACTCCCTTCTCACGCTACAGTATTCCTTCTCTCCCATCCCCACTTCACCCCCTGAAAAGCCCAGACAGTGGAGCTTGATCCTCTGAAGCACTGAAGAGGTGGTTATACTAGTGCAACCTCCAGCTCCTGTCTTCCCTCCTCACCTGGTCCCTAGAGGGTGGGTGTCACCAGTGCTTCTGTCAAGACGTCGCTGCTTCAGTGCTTCCTTGGGGTCTCTGGTCCTTGGCTCTCGGCCCCTCCTGTCTTTACTCCTTGCTTCCCTGTGCGGTCACTGCAGTAAAACATTTCTACCCCGGGACCTGTCAATATTCTGAATTCCTTGTTTTTCATAACTGCCTGTAGCCCACAGATAACGGGGGTGCCTGGTGGCCACCTCAGGGTGATTTCACATGCAAGTATGATACCAGCCCAACATCCAAAAAAAGCCTCAGAATGAATGTAAACATCTCAAGTCTCTTGAGATTGACCCACAGTAAAACATCGTAAAGATCCATCTTTCTGAAGTCCTGTTGACAGATGCTCATGGATGATCTGTTTTTCCTCTCTCGTGTGCTTCTGCCCTCCCCCCTCCCCCAGTCTGGCCCACTGGGCTGCCTTTTCTTCTAGTTCTCCCTTCCCCCTTACTCTCAGTTGCTTTCTCTTCCTGGCTTAGTTTTTTCTTCTGCAAATGGCTTCATTCTTCTCTTCTTACTAATTCTGAAAACCAATTATACTGAAATAAATGCTTAAGTAAACTACAAAACATTAAAGTTAAACAAAATAACCACAAAACCAACCAAAACACAAACAGAGGGCTGAGCCAGCTCTCGCTATTAAGTTGCAGTTTCCACCGCTACTGCTGGCACCACGGATACGTTGGTTAGATTTGTTTCTTTGTCAAAAGATAAAGACCAGTCTTATCTTAGGAAAATGGACGCCAAACTCAATTGGGGCAGAAAAGGGTCACTTAGAAAACTTGTTGAAAACACTACTTCCTGGTGCTCAATCATAGACATTCTCCTCCAGGACCAGGGACCTCGGAATCTGCGTCCTCAGGAGCTCCTTGGTGATTCTGAAGCCGTGGTCCATGGACCCTTTCAACGGGAAACAGTCAGATGGGCAGCCATCTCAGGGGACCCCTCTTCAAACACCATCTGGTCAAATTTACTTTATTGGGACCAAAGACCGCTTTACCGGTGCAGCTTCCTCATCAGATCCCCACCTTTCAGCCTCCTGGAGAGCAGGTCTCATGAGACATTCTTAAAAACGAGAGCTTCTAGAATACAAGTCTGAGGATGCCACTGGCCATCTTCAGGGTGGGCCTACCACCAGACCCCAACCCGTTTAAATGAAAAACTAGACTGCACGGCCGTCTCTCCAGCCACGTTGCTTATCACACCTCCGTTGTTACATTTTGCTAGCTGTGAGGTTGGAAGCTTGTGGTTAAAGGACAGAAGGGCCCTCCTGTCACCGTAAGGAAATCTCCACTGAAATGTCAGAGGCCCAAGCGTGTGCCTAACCATGACAATCCAGCTGGCATTCTTAGCTCATCTAATCTGAGGACGACCTGGCACACGTCCTTGGTTGGCTTTCCTGCTACTGGATGCTCAATTACAGAGCCTCTCAGAGCACCTCTGCCCCCTTAAAAGCCCTCACTACTTCTTCTAGTTCCTAGCTCCTGCGGGAGCTTTACTACCTAGTGCCTCTGGAGAGGGTTCAGACTGCCCTCTGGTGGTCGGGCAGCCTTGTACCATCGCCTGCAGAAGTCCAGAGAGCCTGCTGGGTTCTGAGAGGGAGTAGGAAAACCTCTCTGCGTTCTGCTCTGTCCGAGCTCTCCAAAGAGCTCAGAACCAGGGCTAGAGGGTCCAGGGAAAACTGCTTTGAGCAACTGGAAACTGAGATGGCGTTGATATCAGGCACTGGCTACGCAAAAAAAACAGGGTCACGGTGCAGATACAGAAATAGCTAGATCTGCCCTTTGGCTGCATCCGGGAAAATTTAGGCTGCATTGGCACTTGTAGGTGCCAAGGGGCGGCCCGCCTGCTTCATGTAAGGACCAATCCTCTATCTTACTTTTTAAGAGGATGTGCTTCTCACACTGGAATACTCCTACCCTCAGGATGTGCCGGAGCATCTCCGGCATCTCTTACTTCCGGTAAGTACTAACATGTACCCATGAACCTGAAGGCCCTTTCACTGGCCGCCAGAGCCCACCTGCTTGAGGGCAGAGAGACAGGGCTCCCCTGCTCCCCAGGGCACTTTCATGGGCCCATGAATCAGTCCAGAACCTATTCATAGGGCCAGCTGAGGCAGCCCCTCCACCCGCACCTCGACAGCTGGGCACAGTTGCAGCCCTGGATCTGAACAATGCAAACGCAGTGCCTGGTTGCTCTGCCTCTGCCCCAGGGCTGTGGAGCCTGGAGAACCTCACTGTTGCCCTTGTGAAATAAGGATGTTTCTGCCTCATCCCACCCCCTAGATGCTACAGCATTTGGCGTATCAAACAGTCATTCCACATTAAACGGACACTGTCCCAGGGCGGCGGGACAGATGAGTTCTGGTATCAGCTGACATTCTGGACATGCAGCCACTCCTTCCTGCTGATCCTCAAGCCCTGTGTCCAGGTCTGGGTCACTGTCCTCGCCACTGAGCTCTTGCTTGAGGCCCCGTGCTGTCTTCTGGAAAATTGGCCTCCGTGTGACATCTGGGTGATGGAGGAGAGAGTTCCTGTGCCGTCTCTGCTCAACCTGTCTGTATATAATCAGATGCCAGTGGCTGCCCGTGGGGCTAGGTGTCTCCAGTGCCAATGTGTCCTAGCTCTGGTTTTATCTAGCTAGGATGGCCGTTGGCACGTGGCCCGAGGAGTTCAGCCTGGGAGGGCCTCACTGAGTGGTACTCCCTTTTCTAGATGGCTCCTGAGATGCAACAGACCACTGAACCAGGGAAAAGTGTGTAAGACAATGGCTTCCTTGGATTTCATTATCTCAAGTGTCACTCCACAGTGGCAAAGTGAATAGTGTTTGTGCTTTTCTTTTTTTCTTTTTTTTAGAACAAGAGCAAGGGAGTTCGATTTTTATTTAATTAATTAATTAATTTATTAAAATTTTTGGCTGCGTTGGGTCTTCATTGCTGTGCCCGGGCTTTCTCTATTTGTGGAGAGCAGGGGCTACTCTTCATTGCGGTGCGCGGGCTACCCTTCATTGTGGTGTGCGGGCTTCTCACAGTGGTGGCTTCTCTTCTTGCAGATCACAGTCTCTAGGCTCTCAGGCTTCAGTAGTTGCAGCACGCGAGCGCAGTAGTTGAAGTACGCAGGCCCTAGAGCACACGGGCTTAAGTAGTTGTGGTGCACAGGCTGAGTTGCTCCATGGCATGTGGGATTTTCCTGGACCAGGGCTCGAGCCCGTGCCCCCTGCATTGGCAGGCAGATTCTTAACCACTGCACCACCAGGGAAGCCCACAATTAGCACTGTTAAAATGCTAAAAGATTGTTAGGTTTAAAATATTGACCATAGAATTGCAATTGTTTTAATTTAGTATATTTAAGTCTCATACTAATGGCCTAAGAGGAAGAGTGCTTTCTGAAATACCTTCTCCTTTTTAAAATGATAAATAGGGAGGACAGAGCATGGATAAAGATATTCTTGAAAGTAAGCCCAGAACAAATGGATCAGAAAGATTTAATGGAGCTGAAAACAGAACCAGATATGTATATTGAAAAGGCTCAGTGTGCCAGGCAATATCAGTGGTAAGAATATTACACTGAATCCTATTCTGTCAAAAATAACTAAACACATAATTACAAAGATAAAGGGGGAATTTCATACGTTTTCACACACTATCAAAGAAACAGAATTCTGACTGAACTCAGACATTAGAGTTAGTTGTAGAACAAAATGCTCAAAGACAGTGGAACAAAGTCTAAATCAATTTTGAAGATGAGAAGTTGTGATAAAATATATATTGTTATGCACTATGTTGTTAGTTAATGAAAACAACAGAAGACATTCTGAGATATGCAAAGACTCAGAAAACACACCAACCATGTACTCTTCTTTTAAAATTACTTAAAGATATACTTCAGTCAACAGAAAGATGGATCAAAAAAGGAAGTATGGAGATATCATGGCAAGAAAAGACCAGCGGGGAAACTTAAATAGTAAGAACAGAAAACATTAATATTGTTCTCATGAATATGGATTATCATAACACAAATTTTTAATTTTTGCTTTTGAATTATGTTATATGATATTTGACATGATTATAATTTATATATAATATAAAAATAGCAAAACAATGACATAAATAATTGAATAAAATTAAAATAATTAATATAGAGTAAAAGACAGAAAAATTAATAATGATAATGAATATCCATATTATTATACAGTGGATAGACCAGAATTAGGGAGCTGGTGGGTATAAAAGTGACACACCTTGGCTTAAATATGTGACACATTAAAATATTTTATTTTTAGCTATGACATTTGAAGAATAAATTAAAAATACATTTGGAAAACTTGCAGGTAAATAGAAGAATTACTGTTACAATGCTTTCCAGAAAAGAAGATGAAAACAAAGAAAATGTAGACAAAAAATACAAACATATTCAAAAGAGAAAGAATAAAATGATAGAAATAAGACCAACTATAAACAATAAATGCAGTAGATGACTTTTAGAAAAATATAAAAGTGGAACTGATTCAAAAAGCAGTAGAGTGTTTTTCCTATGTTTTCCTCTAAGAGTTTTATAGTGTCTGGTCTTACATTTAGATCTTTAATCCATTTGGCTTTTATTTTTGTGTATGGTGTTAGGGATACATTTCATTCTTTTACATGCAGCTGTCCAGTTTTCCCAGCACCACTTATTGAAGAGGCTGTCTTTTCTCTATTGTATGTTCTTGCCTCCTTTGTCGTAAATTAGGTGACCATACGTGTGTGGGTTTATCTCTGGGCATTCTATCCTGTACCATTGATCTATATTTCTGTTTTTGTGTCAGTACCATACTCTCTTGATTACTGTAGCTTTGTGGTATAGTTTGAAGTTGGGGAGCCTGATTCCTCCAACTCCATTTTTCTTTCTCAAGATTGCTTTGGCTATTTGGGGTCTTTTGTGTTTCCATACAAATTGTAAAATTTTTTGTTCTAATTCTGTGAAGAATGCCATTGGTAGTTTGATAAGGATTGCATTGTATCTGTAGATTGCTTTGGGTAGTATAGTCATTTTCACAATATTGATTCTTCCAATCCAAGAACGTGGTATATTTCTCCACCTGTTTATGTCATC